ATGGAGCTTGGAGGTCGAGCTTCGAGAGGAGAAAGTTTAAGTAGTGTGGCTCGGGCATTCCATCGAACACCTCATGTGCATAGGAGGTGAGCTAGAGCACCACAAACCCCTCCCCTCGCCGGCCAGAGAAAAACAGAGCACTGGAGTGCTCTGCTCGCGGGCGAGGGTATATATAGGCACCTCATTGGTCCCGGTTGGTGGCATGAACCGGGACTAAAGAGAAGCCTTTGGTCCCGGTTCAGGCCACCAACCGGGACCAATGGTGGTGGGCCAGGAGCGAGGCCCATTGGTCCCGGTTCGTCCCACCAACCGGGACCAGAAGGTCCACGTGGCCCGGCCGGCCCCCTGAGCTCACGAACCGGGACCAATGCCTCCATTAGTCCCGGTTCTACACTGAACCGGGACTAATGGGCTGAGCCGGCCTGGACCATAGCCCTGTTTTCTACTAGTGTGGGCATCTGCATGCGTAGTATGAACTAAAAAAAGGGGTAGCAAGACTTGCTATGCTATGCTCAAGTCTTTTCTATTCTATAGAGCCATGTAAAATTAACGATTTGATCTAACTGATGCTTGATTTCAAGTCAATAAAATTCATCATTTGTCTGAAAAAATTAGAGAAGTCAAATTAACTATTTGACCTCTGGTAAAATAAATTCTACAGTTAGTCCATACAAGAAATTCTACAGTTAGTCCGTACAGTTAGCCAGAAAAATAGAGAAGTCTTTCGAAGTCAAATCATCCTATCTCAGTAGTATTTGTTGCTACAGTTGCAAATACATCATTTTCTTATGTTAAATCCAATGCTCTATTTGTGCATGCATGTAGGTAATATATATGTTTGTTAATCCTAGCTAATTAATACCTTGGCGTGTTAGTTCGATCAGCTAGCTATTGGCCTACTGTTAATCTTGATAGATAATCACCATGTGTGTTTAAATCAATTATTTATACTGATAAAACATCATTTTTAGAGTCTACCCCAAGCTAGTACCCAATCGCTCAAAAATAACTACTGGGGATCGTTGAAAATGTGAATTTTTTTAAGCAACTGAAAAACGTCGGCTAAAGGGGAAGAATCCATCCCCTAGCTGCATGTTAGTTACATAAGAGATGAGACCACTCCGTAGAAATACTTGTGGATAACACCCCAATGGAATCCTCTTTGCGTTGACTCACACGTGGGTGGCGATACTACCACTGTGGAGGGTTTAGGGGGGTGGGGGAGAGAGATCGGAAGCAAGCTATGCCAAGCTGGCCAAAGCTTGTACTTAGCGCCCATCACCAAGGACTAGATAGAGAAGAGCAGGAAGGAGTATTGTAGGATCACTCAAAAGGAATCCTGACGTCGAGAAGATAAAGAAATTAATTCCACGTGATTGCCCTTCGTATACTCTTAACCTTGAAGAACTAGAAGAATTGTAGCCATAGTAGAAGGGAATCCCGCCATCGGGGTTGCTTTGAGACACCGAGAGTCACCGACACCACTGAAGGGCAATGTTGTTTCGAGACAACCTCTCCAGTGGATATGCAACAGTCCAAGGTCTCTGGGTGGAGCCAATGGGATAAGGTGGGTTGGGCTATGTTTAGCCGATTTGAATGGCCATCCAGTAATAGGACTTGTATTTCTTTCTACCCTTGGATGATATAATCATGCAACTAATAACATAGAGTTGTGTGCATCCATAAATGCATAGGCTGGTTTTCTAACCTCCTTTGAAAAAAACAATGAGAGGGATAGGGTTTTTTATTACATATAAAAATTGATTTACTTATACTCCTTTTCTCGAAAAAAAATTATGGCAAATTTTATTGCGTTAGTACAAGAGTTTGCTTGCCACTTACTTGATTAATATTTTATTTATTTGCCATGAATAATAAGCCAACTGATTTTTTGTATGAATCCAAAAAAACAATATGTTAAAAAAATATAGAGTGAATTCCTGTTTTTACCCCCTATTTTGACATTTTTTACACTACTTACCCCATTTAGCGAAATTTCATCCATTTTACCCCATTTAACAAAAGTTCTGCCACGATTTACCCTGTTTAAAATTTCATGAGTGTTCTGACAGCCAGGTCCCAATTGTGAAGTCTAGCTGGCATGCCACATCGATGGTTTTTTCCTGCTTATTTTTCTCTCTCGTGAACCAGTCCTCGCGGTTTCTCCCGACCGGACCGGCCCGATGGAGGTCGCTTGCGTCTCGTCCAATGCATAATGCCTAAGTCGTCCACACTCCTTACTCACGCCCAATCGATTGCATCGCCCGTCCAGACTTCTGCCCACACGTACCCATCAGGCTCGCTCGAACTTAGGGTTAGGGATTGTCAGGCAGCGGCGTGATTTCATACCACCTCGAGCGGCGTTGTATATGGCCGCGACATCAAGGCAAGAAACGACCCCGTCGAATCCGGCTCCGTCAATCTCGCCGACGTCTGGGCGCGAGATCAAGGCCAGAAATGACCCTATCAGGCTCCATCAAGCTTGCCAACGTCGGCGTGTGCGCGTCCATGTACATGCCCCCATCAGGTTGTGCTCGGTTGCGGATCTATGGGGGCCGCTCGTCCAACAAATCAGCTAGGTTGGTGAACAAGCAAGCCCTCTCGTCGTACCGCATTCCACATGATTTTGACCACCTCCATCATATGTGTATTATGAAGTTTTCCTAACTCATGCATTGGCCGGTGAGGCGTTTGATTTGGACAGAATTAAAATGCTTATTAGAAGATCACGTGTATACATATCACCCATCTATAACTGATGTACATTGATTTAAAGTTGTTTTCAACATTTTGAATATTGTCAAAATCCTTGTTTTCTTTGTTTTGCGGCGTGCGTGTGATTCGAAGGAAGGCAAACAATGTGTGCTATGAATATTGGAGGCCAGAGTGGTGCAGCCCAACTTACACCTTGTGCGTTGGACGCGAGCGACCTGCTCTGGCGATCATATTGGGCCAGCCCGGTCGAGCGAAGCTGCGAGCACTGGTTCAACATGGAGAAAAATAGGTAGGTAAAAACCATTGATGTGGCATGCTAGGTGGACCTAACAATTGGGACCTGCTCATCAGAACGCTCGCAAAATTTTAAAATGGGTAAATTGTGGCAAAACTTTTGCTAAATGGGGTAAAATGGATGAAATCTTGCTAAATGGGGTAATTAGTGTCAAAAACGTCAAGATAGAGGGTAAAAACCGGAATTAACTCAAAAATATACTAAGTGAGCAATTATTGGTGCAAGATTTGTCCTAACAAAAAGAACATATCTATTTATGAGAGGGGTGAGGAAAGGGGGGAGTATAATATAGCCAGATATGTTGGCAACTTACCCGCAAAAGCAAAAAGATGTTGGCATTTGGAACAAATCATTGCATATATCAACATCAATACCAAGGTATGAGATTGCTAACCGGACCTGCCGCCCGGTAACTTGGAACAAATTAGGTACATGTGAACTCCCTTCACATGCGCGTTGATGATTCGAATGTCGGCTTCTACTCTGAGCAACTTTTTTTAGTATATCATTTATTCTTGTGTAATTGCAACATGGACGTCACAAATCCTTTTTCTTAAACATGGGATGGGAAACCTCCCAAAAGCGGGCCTCTACTAAAAAATAAGACATGATTGTTCGTAGGTCCCCAGTGCCAAGAATTAACGGGTATGATTAAGTCTTGGTATAAAAGAACGGCTGTTTTGTAGGGTGATATGGCTTAATGAGGATGTTGTATTGGAAAACCGTTTAGAATAAAGACAGATAAGAAGCACACTAAGTATGGTTAGACTTCCAAATCAAAAAAAAAGTATGGTTAGACTCCACTTGTATGTATAGTAGTCAAATGAAGTCATAAAGAATAATTAATGAACACGGAGTTGGTTGGCCTGTCTATGCCAGTGTAGAACGTATGGTTCTACCTCGAGCAGTGTCTCGTGTATATAAACCCATGCATTCGCCTTCTTCCTTCACAACAACAAACCAATCAACAAGCTAGCTTATAGAGCCATGGCACTCCGACGACCCTCATTTCCTCCATTCTTGTTACTTTGCTTCCACCTGCTGGCTGCATTACACACAGCCTCCGATGCAGCTGTGAGTTCACACATGCCTCAAGCCATGCAGTGTTCAACGTCTGGCAACTACAGCTCTGCCAGTGCCTACGCTGCCAACCTGAACCAGTTCCTTGCTTCGCTCCCCGAGAAGACCATCTCCAAGAATGGTGGCTTCTTCAACGGCACGGTCGGCGTGGGCGAGGGCACCGTGTATGGCCTCGCGATGTGCTCCGCTGACTACTCGCGCTCTGACTGCGGTGACTGCCTCGCGGCCACTGCTAGCAGTAGCGCTGATGGTCTGGTGAACCGCTGCTCTGGGAGCACCACTGTGCTCGCCTGGTTCGACGCGTGCCTCGTCCGCTACTCAGACACCAACTTCTTTGGCACAGCTGAATTAGGTACTCCATTGCTTTATTTGCCATGATATATGTATTGTTTCATTTGAGATAAGATTAGTTAGGTGTAAAATCTAGATGAATTCTTCCCACCAGTAAAGCAGAACAGGTGCCTTTTCTTTTTCGAAATGGGGGTTATACTTCCGGCCTCTATATCAATTGATCCATACCAATACAAGTAGCTACTCCCTCCGATTCCAGAATGTTTATAGTTGCATAGAAAAAATTGTTACATGATATCTATAAGATTGATCTAAATATAAAGTATGAAAATATATAGGTTACGATGAATCTATTGAAGCTAATTCGGTGTTGTAGATGTGGATATATTTATCTACACATTAACTTGATCAAACTTAAGATGTTTTTGAGATAGCACAAACACAAAACTTCAATTATTTTGGAAAACAATATGGACGAATTCCATAACCATAAGAAAAACTGTGTGCTTCGGTCTGTGCAGGTGTTATCTACACGTGGCATGGTGGTCCAACATCCAGGCAGCCACAGCAGTACACTGACGACTTGGAGAGAAACTTAAACGTGGCGGCAAAGGCCGCAATGGCCTCACCGCAGCGATTCGGGGCGTCGTCGACGTATCCATACATGTTGGTGCAGTGCACGTGGGACCTGCCACCGGACCTGTGCAAGCAGTGCCTGCAGGTGTTGTTCTCCAGTTGGTCGAAGGACAGGGTTTCCCTAGATGGCAAGCGCAGGAGCTATAGCTGTGCTGCTAGGTACAGCAACACCAGCTTCATGGTTGTGACGTTCGGAGCTGCTCCTACGCCGCAATACGTAGATCAGGCGGCCAGATCAGCTACTGATCAGTCCAGCGGCGGCAAAGGTACCAAGCTTCTACTACTTGATACACACAGATGAACATATTTAACAGAAAAACTTTTTTTGGGTGTTTGGTGGGGATAGGCAATTTTAAGAAAATTTTGTAAGAAGGATCAATTTGCAGGAAAAATGAACTTTCTTTTGCCCTGGTTATTTATAATGAAAATAACTGGTTACTCTATTCGTTTCAAAAATATAAGATGCTTTTCTTCATATGTCAATTTTTTTATGATTGACTAAATTTAGTTTTAAAAAATTACAATGCCAAATTGGAATTATTAGATCCATCATCAAATATATCTTCAAATTTTATTTATGCGGTATTCAAGATGTTGATGTTTTTTCCTATAAATTTTGTCGGTCCTAGAAAAGTGTGACTCCCAAAAATATATAGACCTTATATTTTTGGATCGACAAAGTATTGTTTAGCAAATCCGTTTATATTTGGCCTGAGACTTGGTCCAAAATGACTCGCTCTATCTATTTATATATACTATAATAAAAGTAATATATAGTGAACCTGGAGCAAGAGAAATAGGCTAGAAAATCCCATTTTAATCAGAAAATATTGGCCCTTGATCTGTTGGTTCTCTTAAATCAAGATTATGTGACCGTTCAATCTGTGTAAAATATATAACATGCTGGGCCTAGGAGATTTGCAAGACACATGTGTTAGGTAATCTTGTCGTAGAGTCATACGTGTAAGAGTTGGAAACATAGTTTCCACAGAGTCGTGGCTTGCAGCCACTTATGTTTACGTGAGCGTCTAGTACTAGGAGTCCTAGTTTGACTCAGTTTAGGATTGCTGGGTTAGCTAGCTTCAGGTTTGGTTTGGCCGTATAGGAGTGCAAAGTTAGATTAGATGAGAGTCCTAGTCCGGATAGGTTTACTACGTAGGGATCTGGCCGTGTATATATATAGATGTACAGGGCATAGATTTGTAACACCGTGGGAGAAAAAGGAGAAAAGAAAGAAAGAAAGAAAGGGCATGATACGAGCCCTTGGCTATCAGTTTCCCCGTGCGGGAGTTCATCGTGATTGGATGTGATCGATCCTGTGGGCGAGTTCCAACAATTGGTATCTAGAGCAAGGTTCAGGAGTCGAGCGCTTGCTCTGGGGTTGTAACCCGACTAGCGCCTCGGGGCAGGCAATGAAGTTGCTGGGTGATGCAGCGATGCGGAGGATCAAGCAATCGTCTTTCGTTGGAGCGACAAAGAGGGAGGCGGCAGGCTGTCATCGTGAAGACGGTGGAAGAAGATCCTTGATGTGAGAGGTGGTGCCGAGGCGCGGCGCTGGAGCTTATCAAGATCGTCGTCCGGGGGGAGTCGGATGAGTCAAGGAGTCGTGCGAGTTTGCACGATCAGTCGTCGTCGTTGCGTCTGTGAGTCATCGTTGTGTCCAAGTGCTCATCTTGGTGATGATTCGTTGAAGTGGAAGCGATGTGCACGGTGTTTCGTGAGTCATGTTCATGTCCTCGTGGAGCGTCTTGGTTGTGGCCAGTGTGGATTCGGTGTGATGCCGAAGGCGGACGGTGGTAGGCGAAGCCATCGTAAAGCGAGGAGGTGTGCAAGCAGTGGAGAGTGGATCTATTGCAAGCAAGTACAAGGAGTATGGTGTGGACCGAGTGCAAGGCAGCGGCCAAGCAATGGCGGTGGCACAACATGACAGGGCAAGGAGGTGCTTTGCATGTTTCCAGACGAGTCATACTTAGTGTACGGATATGGCAGTTGAAGATCAAGCTCGACGTGAAGTGGGACAGTGACCAGTTAAGTTGTATGACGTGAAGACTGATGATGTGTCCAGTCTTGCACGTTGCATGCGTAGATGCGACCGTGTGGGCTGGTAGTCTGGATCATGCGTCGGAGTTTGGATCAACAAGTTGCGGATCGACAACGAGTCAAGATCGAAGAAGCACAGAAGACCAGAGTCAAGATTAAGAGGAGATTGTTAGGTAATCTTGTCGTAGAGTCATACGTGTAAGAGTTGGAAACATAGTTTCCACAGAGTCGTGGCTTGCAGCCACTTATGATTACGTGAGCATCTAGTACTAGGAGTCCTAGTTTAACTCAGTTTAGGATTGCTGGGTTAGCTAGCTTCAGGTTTGGTTTGGCCGTATAGGAGTGCAAAGTTAGATTAGATGAGAGTCCTAGTCTGGATAGGTTTACTACGTAGGGATCTAGCCGTGTATATATATAGATGTACAGGGCATAGATTTGTAACACTGTGGGAGAAAAAGGAGAAAATAAATAAAGAAAGAAAGGGCATGATACGAGCCCTTGGCTATCAGTTTCCCCGTGCACGTGTTCGTCGTGATTGGATGTGATCGATCCTGTGGGCGAGTTCCAACAACATGTACATATAACACAAGTTCAAGAAAAAAAATATTTGATCCAGCCCCCACGTATAATGTTAGGAAAGAAGTAAAAAAAAGAATTGGACTGTCACATGGCTTGATATCCACGTAGAGCCCCTAGCCCCTACATGTTCAAGGAAACATATTTGGTACGGCAACACCAGCTTCGTGGTTGTGCCGCTCGGTGGTGCCCCTAAGCCGCAATCTGTAGATCAAGCGACCAGATCAGCTACTCAGTCGAGCAGCGCCGCGGGGAAAGCCAGAAAGGTATATATGCAAGGCCCTACGCG